TAAATCAGTTGGAAGACTGAATAAACATCTGACGTCACTGGGATCTGTGTAAATCAGTTAGAAGATTGAATAAACATCTGACGTCACTGGGATCTGTGTAAATCAGTTAGAAGATTGAACAAACATCTGACGTCACTGGGATCTGTGTAAATCAGTTGAAAGACTGAAGGTGAAAGCGGCAACCAGGGAAGGTATTCACCAACATCCAGACGGAATGATCCTGTTGTAAAAGTATACCGAATAATGTAGCTAGTCAAAGCAAAGGATGTGAAATAATAGGAGAGAACATACAGCCAAAAGGCTACTTGTAAAGTAAGTAAAGGAACTCTCTTCTAACTGTTGGGAGGCAGCTAACATCCACACGAGGGGTCAGAGTCCTGGGGTTGTCATCTAGTACTCAACTCAACTCAACAAAGGCCGCGAACAAAACCAACTTAATCGAGTTTAAGATTATTCTGCTTGTTTGTTTGAAGTTAAGCACAAAGCTACACAATGGGCTATCTGTGCTCTGCCCATCACGGGTATCGAAACTCGGTTTCTAGCGCTGTAAGTCCAAAAACATACCTCTGTGCCACTGGGGGGCAGATTATTCTGTCATGGATGGTTGCATAAATTGCAGTGTATGTGTAAAAATAAAAGGGATTATCTCCAAGTTAGAAATATTATAATATATTCGTCATGTAAAATAATTACGTCTAATAATAATAATTTACTTAAATTAAATAAAGAAATAACATAATAATAAGTTAATTAACATAACAATGAATTATTAATTTCATCAAGTGGATATTTTTTTGCTGTGTCTACTGAGGGAAATCTAACCCCTTTTAACATTGTAAATCCGTAGACTTACCCCTGTTCCACCGGGGGAGATATTTTATCGGGATTTTTATTTACGTATAAAAAGTAGGGGAAAAAAAGAACTAAAGCTATTTATTAAAAACCTGATCTATATATATATATATATTACAAAACCTGCTCTATATATATATATATATATATTTTACAAAACCTGATCTATATATATATATATGTATATTTGTATTTTACAAAACCTGATCTATATATATATATATG